CATTCCCGTATTCCCCCATTCCCGTATTCCCCCATTCCCGTATTCCCCCATTCCCCCATTCCCGTATTCCCGTTCCCTATTTTAAAGATAGCCCTACAATTCCATCCACCAAACGTTGAGCCCGGAATATATCGTTTTATATCGTTCTATGGTCGGTTAGCTGTCGGCATTAAATTACGCATCTTTCACATTTTCAATCCAATATTGTTATGCAAATGAACTTTTTCGTAGGAAAAATTTGCTTACAAAATTATTACGTGTTATAGTGTTTGGGCCACGGCAGACTGTGTTATGTAAATGTATTAAAATAAACCTTACGAATGCTATAAGCTCTTAAACATTAACCAAAATGTTTGTGGGGAAATCGTGTTTGGTTTTCTTGTCGTTCGTTCTGGGCCTGGCGAGTGCCGAAGGCGAAAATTCACTTTCCTATCGCGATAAATGTCCAACGTTTCAGATCAGAAAGTCGACGATTATTAAAACACAGAAGTCCATTCACGATGGCGCTGAGTTTCTGGGCAAGAAAATCACGACTTCTTCTCGTGGCTGCCACGAACAGTGTTGCAAAGCCAACGGATGTAATTTGGTGATGTTGAAATACGACGTCGAAAGTTCCCAAGAAAAAGTTAGTTGTTTTATGTTCAATTGTCGTTCGCCTTCGGTTTGTACCTTCTACCGACATTCATCGTATCATAGCTATGCTGCTCTCGAATACGAGGACAGAAAGCCTCAATATTCACCTAAAGATTATGGAAAAACGAAAGATTATAAAACAGGTATGTATACTTAATACTTTTACGTTCTACTTGTGATATTCTTTTCGAATTTGGTATAAAAGTTTATATATTGAAAATCATTCCGGTTATAAAAAGATGAGATTAACAAGACGTTTTTTATGAATATTGAAATGTACAATTGAGTTTATATTTTGTTCAATAATTTCAAAATACATGATGTTTTCATTGTTTAAAATTGTTGTGGAATATTATGAATGTTTCCAAATATAATTTGCAACATTTCGTTGCATTGGAACTATATTTTTTATATGTTCTAAGACCTTTGTTATTGCTCTGGGCATTGTATTGCTTCAGCTGTGAAGCCTTTGACATGGTTTATTGATTTTCATTTCTCATGGTCAATGAAGCACAACATATCTTAGTATTAAAGTTGCAATGCATATCACATCTGAGTAATTTTCAATCTTTCCATCTGCTGAAAATGTTGAATGTTCCTTTTATATGTTGTGGCTAGCAAGAATAGCATGATTTCAATGCTACTGCTAGATATTGTTGTGGCTAGAATAGTAGAATCTGAAAATTTGTGAGTTGCTGTGTTCTCAGATCTGACTTAGTTTCATCAATTTTTGTGCATCTTGCTATCTACAGAGAGCTTTGGCAAAAATGGACTGCCAAAATTTCACATTGTTTGGACAATTAGGTCATTAATCACAACATTCTGAATATTTAGTTTTTTTGTATTTACGGGAATGAAAACGTTAGAGAGTGATTTCGATTTGACTTCCATCACCTCTCAATGACTTAGTATGTATCTGATTAATTGGATATATGAAACACATCTAATTGGTTAATGGTCCCTTAATTGTAGCGGCAGTGGAAGTCAAAGCTGAACCCCTCTATTGTCCATCCAGTAGTAGCAAGGACACATTTCAGTGCAGCAGCAAATTCCAGTCAAATCTATCAAAAAAATCTTTAAAGCTTTTATAACTCACAACCTAACTATTGAAACAACATAAAATTTTAAGAACAGACTAATTTGAGAAATAAATTAAATTCTTGGGTCCATTCTCCCCAAATATCAAGATGAAAATTTGACAGTGCTAAGTTGCATTGTTGAATTTACACACATAGATGGATGATCTGTATATTCAGATAACCTACACATGCAAGTTCCTTTTAGACAAACTACACAGAAAATTCTATTCAGATTCTTTGTGGATGATCCATCTGTTTGCCTGTGTTTATACAGAAGGTGGATTGTCAAACAAACCGTCTTCTCGTTGCCCATGTTCGTCTCTTTCTCGATCCTTTTAGATGACGATAAAGTGGAGACAACAACAGCAACAACAGAACCACCCAATCCTACAACAACTCAAAAAACATACAAAAAATGGGGAAATATCAATTGGTTTGAGGCAACTACCACAAGTAAACCAAGATATGTGAAACCAAAATACGACAACAGCGGTTATGATAAAACTAACTCTTGGGGAAGGAAAAACTTGCTGGATGATCAAGATCTTGACAAATTATCAACAACACACCGTTCTTATAATCGTAAGACCACTGAATCCAAGAAAGCTAATCCCTGGCATGTGGATGAAAGTATGCCCAAGGAAACCAAAACCAAGAGCTATGATAGCAGAAAGTATGGAACATATGATCACACCCAGAAAGCTGACACATTCAAGATCCCAACCAAGAAGACCACACCAGCGGACGAGGAAGAGGACTTTCCTAGACGGGTGTTTGTTGATAATAATCCAGATTTTCCTGATGAACCACGTAACCATCACAGCGAACCAGAAACAAAAGAAACCAAAATGCAAACCACAAAGAGTCCAAATTTAAGAATTACAAAAGGTGAGCTTTAACCCATTGAGCACCAGTGCTCTCCCCTTGACGAGTGAAGTCGTCTGGTGTTAGACGACTTCACAATTGTCGCATATTTGGAAACTGTTGGTGCAATATCATAGTGTTTAATTTACATGAAGTAGAACACATGATATCATGCAAAATTAAGGAAATAAACAAGTATTTGTCATTTACTAATTGTTGTAAGCAAATAAAAACAGACACAAGGATTGCTTGATGTTGGCTCTACCAATTTGATGACAAGGTAATTTAAACACATTTCTGCCCACAAAGCACGGCCAGGAATAGACATAATTATATACGACATGTTCTTTAACTGGAGTATTTGACACATTCTGACCGGAATATTTATTTCATTGTTATATCTGTTGAAGGCCATAGTAAGGCGAGACCTTGTGATAAATAAATACTCCAGGCAGAGAACATGTCTGTACTGTATAATATATAAAACTACAAATTTTCGTAAATTAATGTTTATGAATTTCAAATGGTTTATGTATCTGTATACTTTTTCTCGCACAGGTACTACGACAAAGTCTCCCCCTGCCAATCACTTTGTCATCAAGAGATTGAATATCCAAGACAATAAAGCAGTCATCCCATTGGCTATTGGGCTCGTGTTAGCGTTACTCCTACTTTTGGGGGTAATATTCCGTTTGAAGACATCAAGAAGACGGAGAACCAAGGCATTTCTTACAGACGATGCAGATTATTTGATAAACGGAATGTATTTATAGACAGAAACATACCCAGTTTCTTTTATTTGATCATGATATTTGTTATGATTCACTGGCTTAGTTTACACAGTTTGACTGCAAGATGTTAGACATGTTTTCAATGTCATCGTTTTGATAGGCAAACTGCCATTATATGGTTTGAAAGCAAAGTTAAAACTGTTGAAAGGAAGCCATTGATATTTGTAATATTTTTTTACTGCATGGCATGGTACACACGTAAAAATCTCACATCTTGTAACAAGTCTGCCAACAAGCCGTCAACAAGATGTATTGTTATATATAACAACTTGTTGACAACTTGTAACAACCTTGTCGAAATTATCAGACTTGTTGCAAGGTTGTTCTGACAAGCCCGTTACATACTTGATATAACAAGATTGTTACAACCTTCTGTTGACAACCTTGTAACATCCTTGTTATATCATGGCTGTAACAAACTTGTTAGCACAGTCTTGTAACAAGTCTAATAATGCCATCAAGCTTGTTACAAGTTGTTAACAGCTTGCTCCAAACTTGTTACAACAAAATGGGAACAAGCAGTGCGAACACAACTTGTTGACAGCTTGTGAACAGACTTGTAACAACTTGCTTGCAGACTTGTTACAACTTGTGCGTTTTTACGTGTGTACTCTAAGTCAGTCGTATTGATTTACTTTGAAGTAATTTTGAATTGAAGACTCATGTGTGAATTGTACATAAGAGGTTCAGATTTTACTTTCACTACCAGGTTAATCGGGTAGATTAAATGCATCTCATTGGTTAATGGTCTCGTAATGGTAACCATATTGCATGAAGAAAAATCTGAACCTCTTTACTGTCTAAACTTGTCAGTTTCCAAAGGTTAGGTAGCACAGATTAGATTGCTAGATTCAAATATTTTGTAGCTGTACTAAGCTTGGTGACTGACTGATTAGCATATGTCTGCGCTTTTAGGGGATAAAATTAAGCAGAGTTACAAATAGGTATTTTTGTTATGGACATGCCGCAGTAATTAATTGCTTGAAAGAACTGGTTGTGAATACACACCGCACCAAAAAGCAGTGCTGGTAGCCATTTATATATTATTGTGTTTGAAAATATTGTGCTTTGTAACAGCTTCAGAATGTTAATAAATGTACATCATCAAATTTATAATAGTATTCAAGATGTCCATCAGTCACATAAGAAAAGTAAAGCCACCCCCCCCCCCCCGAATCACTCAATTGACCAATCGGCTTTCTTCCTTATTTAAGTTATTTTGCCCGCGAAAATTTCGAAAGCAAGCAAACTTTTTCAATTTCTTTATAATAAAATTGCTTAAAAATTTATCGGCAATTGCTGATTATAATGACAAGAAGGAAAGATTTTTAGATGGACAAATAAAGAGCGTTAGCAAGGACGTGTAAAATCTATATTTTATATGAACTATGGCAACTCCAGACGAACTAAACTCGACAACGACAGGTTTGTTGTTTTGACCGCTTAAATGTTTTTTTTAAAATATTTTTTTAATTTGTATGCCTTGTATGGCGTTGTACGTTATAGGTCAAATCAAAGGAAGAAATATTGTTGCAAGGGAAAGAATACAAGCAATCCAAGCAGCTAGTCGGTAAATAAAAGGGCCCATAAAAAATGGGGAAAATTTGTTTAATTTAAACTGTTCAAGAATATATAGACTATAGTCCAAATGTCCAATGTTCGTCAAGTCTGTGCACGTGAACAGTTTATGAGAAGCACATGTTGTACTTAGTTCTATTAAAAAAAAATTAAGTGTTGGCCACGCTGGCATTTTACTTGCACATTTCCTTAAAATTGAGAAATTGTCTGACAATTAGCTACGTCAGTTAAAATTAGAGCATGTTCTGTTGCAATTTTACACTATTCTAAATGTTCTATCTTTCACGAAAAACTAAAAATTTACATGTAATTTGTGAACTAAAATTATTTTTATACAATTATGTAGTGGTCTTGTATTTTGGTGGCAAATAAATAGAATTGCAATAGTATACTTTAATCTTCTTGCTCCTGGTATAATAAAAATATAAAATGAATATACAGTTATAAATGTTCGGATAAAGTACAGACCAGAAACCTTTCTTTGAAAAGTTTTCCTCATTGCCATTGGCAAGTTTTATTTTTTCTTGTAGTCCTGTGTATACGGCAAAAAAGTTGAGAATTTTTTCTCGCCAGCTTTTGGACAAGGAAAATTTGTTCGCGTGTACGGCCGCCAAGAAAAACATGTTTCGTTTCATTTGGGGGGGGGGGGTAATTTTAATTTCAGCTGAAACATGATGCGACTGTCACAGCAATAAGCGTAGAAAGATACTAAGAATTTGGACGGCAAGTATGCTGCAAAAAAATGCCTTATTTATATATAATTTTAATTGGTTTTGGTCAGTATGGATGACTTAAGTGGTGGGGGCTAAAATCACCAGCAAATTGGCATAACTCAAATCATTACCCTCCTCTGTGAAAATTATTACAGGTGCTGAAGCCCCCCGTGGTCATGGAGTTTAAATTCACTTTATGTAATTGAACACAATATTGGTAATTTATGTTGTCTTTTAGGCAGCGATGAAGAATCTTCATGCATATTACCGACTTACTCTGATCATTATCCCCCCCTCCCACTTTGACTTAACACCCCCTACTTTGACTTCTGGGGGTTGGCTATACCCCTCCACCCCTCCTGTTCCGGCGCCCCTGAGTATTACGGGTCGGCACGAAGCTCTAGGAAGATGTTCTGTGAATAAGCTATTGAATGAATAAGCTATTGAATGGATTTTCTAAAGAACGAAGCAAAAACAATATTCCTTTTGTTTTTGTAAGCCAATTACATCTTTTGTTACTGTCATAATCAGCCAGTCACAGAGCATCTTACTAGAGCTTCGTGTTTACTGGGGTAATACTTCTATGGTTATGTCAGACGGTCTGGATGTGAGATAAATGTTTTAATGACACTCCATGCACACGAGCAGCGAACTTGCCAAGGAAAACTTGTTCTTATCTACACCTACGGGGGTTTAACGCCTTTCTCGCGCAAGCTAAATTTAATCACGGAAATATAATTTGAATAGTTCAAAAGCAATCAACTGTGCCATAGCTACTATTTGCTATAATTATATGACGTGATTTAAACTGTGAAATTATCAGTCTCTTAGAAACCGAAGCACTAACGGAAAATATTTTTGCTTTAATTAAATTGCGCTTATAACTTGAAGTGCCAACACATCTAATCATAACTACTCTTCTAGTGCTCCGAGCCTCATTGCCGGAGTTTGAAAAAGCAAGAAATTTGAATATCTTGTCATAAGAGTAGAAATACTTCGAATTCGAATTTATATATTTTCGAAGGTGAATACTTTTTTCCAAACAAAAGTGATGGTCAACCAGAAATTCGGCTTAATATGGCTGATTTTCTTGATTGTGCCATTGGACATCTGGAAAGCTGGACAGCTTGTTCACGCTAGAAGGTAAACCAGCAAAAAAGTTTTCTCTTTTAATTTTCGAAACATTAACTTTGATCTGAAAATTTATACTTAAGGAAAAATGTCAAACGAACGTTTTTATACAAAGTTAAAGACAACTTTTACCTTTTGAACTATAGACCTGCCATGTTCCAAATTCTTGTACGAATGAGGCAAAAAAAATATTGTATGTACGAAGAGCTGAATGCAGTTAATGTGATTGAAACGGAATTTTGCGATTTAAGACGGAATTTTGTTTAGGTTTTTAAAAAAATTGGGCTGAGTAAAATTAAAGTGAAAGTTTCATTTTTAATTAATGTGAAAAAATATTGTGGTTGAGCGCCGTTATAGCTTAAGTATTTCTGAAAAAGCACTCTTAAAACTTGCTATACTTAATAAGGATAGATATTTTGCGGTTACGAAGAAGCGTTTTACTTAAACTGAATTATTTGAGATAGTGACGTGGCGAGAACGGCCGGTTTCACTATAATAAATTACAAGTATAGGAAAAAATTACAATTCAGATTCTAAGTATTTTCAAATGAGTGTCAAGTTAAGATCTGTTAAGTTACTTATAGTTCTTCTGACATTTTTGAAATCATTTTTGAAAAAATTTTCGTCTTCAATGGACCTTTAACCTTATAACTAAAATTTTGATCTAGACAAAAATTTCATCACAGCTTGAAAGAGCATCACAAAATTAGTAATATTCCAAAGTTTCGTTACGAAATGTTGTAAAATGCGGATAATATAGCCCTGCGAACTTTGCAATTTTCAGTCATTTTAGATTACAAACGGGAAATTGATACCCAAATCGGGTGTTTGGATATCAATTTCCCGTTTGTAATCTAAAATGACTGAAAATTGCAAACTTCGCAAGGCTATATTATCCGCATTTTACAACATTTCACAACGAAACTTCAGAATATTACTAATTTTGTGATGCTCTTTCAAGCTGCGATGAAATTTTTGTCTAGACTTGTCTAGATCAAAATTTTAGTTATAAGGTTAAAGGTCCATTGGATTGGGGTTCTCAACCTTCGGGATTGGGGTCTACACTCTACCCTTTAAGCTCTCCGTTCATATCGAGATTCGGATTCGAATCACACGCGCTATCCGATGGGATCGGATTACGGATTGGCGCTGTGCCTTTAAGCTATTCCGCCTGAGCGGAATTTCAGTTGACACTCTACCCGTTGACTTTGAGCTATCTGCTAACCGGGATTTAGATTCTACAGTTTGTCCTATCGGGGTAACCGAGTCTACTGTCTATCCTTTGAACTATGCAACCTGAATCCCAAAAGTGTGAACTCGTGAGGATATCAATTTCTCTCACAATTGTTTCGTCAAAGAATCTGACAGATTTAATCGAGTTATTTATTTCTTCTAAAGGTTCCAAATTCCTGACGACAATATTGATCATCTCGCAGAAAGAACAAGACGGAAAATCACACAGAAGCGATCATGTAAGTTTCACAAGTTGTAGCTTTGACAAAACTGTATTAGCCTTTTCTTCATCTTCTCTTCACTAGAGCAAAAGCTAAAGACTTTTGGTGCTGAACGAACCTACCGTAGTTATTCCCCTCAACAGGGCCGTATGCAGGATTTTTTCCACCAGAGGGCAGTATTACATATATGCTGGAATAAGTACCCAAATGAGTTAGATGTATGTTTATGCCTGTCCCATACAGAATCATGTATTCTGATTCACAAGATATTATAAACGGCATTTGGCTTAATAATTTGTAATAATATTATAAAATTAGTAAGTTCAATTTTCTCTGGGGGCAGTTGCCCCTCCCCACCCCCCGCATACGATCCCGCTCCTCAGGATTTTCTCTTATTTTAAACGGGATTAACTGTGTTTGAAATACTGTGATATTTTTTTAGCCTTGGGACACTTCAGATAAGGGTGTTAACAATTTGCACGATTGAATAATTAGGCGTAGAAGTTTGAATCCTTCTATTCTTGGGCACTTTGTCATCGATAAAAAAACCAACACTCGGTTGGCACAAACGTTGTGATGGTCAGAATCTTGGGTTAGGCTCAAAATCCCCCTGTAGCCCTTAATTAAATAGTTTACAGGCGTTAGGGGGGAAGGCGCCGTTTCCTGTGTATACTTCCCAAGAAGGTTGCCATGGATTTTGAATTAGAGCATTGTCAATGTAGACGATCATGTTTACGTATATCCACAATTTCGCATTAACTTTAATTTAAAATCATCCATGATTGATAAAATTAGATATATCAATTATTCTCGCCAGGGCATACTGACAACAGGGAGGGAGTGCTGGTCAGTATGTAGTCATGGTTAAAGCGACAATTTCACAATCATCTTGCTATCTTGTTTTGTCTTTCCAAATCTAAAAAAAAATTAATTGGATAAGGAAATTGGTACACCCCCCCCCCCCTTGCATCCCCTGTTTCGAGGTTAGGATGGTTTGCGCAACTCTCCCCACCCACCCCACCCCTACGCCCAACCGAGTAAAGGAGCTTCGGAGGCGCAGTTGTCCCAGCAAGTTCCTTTCACCCCTGAGATTCTGGGTTCAATTCTCGCTACATTTCGTTCATAAATTTCCATTCTAGCATGTGCTACAACTGGATTCAGGGGATTCTGTCGCGCATCTCTGGAAGATAAACTTGTAAACAGCGATGGACTGTGTGCAGAATTCCTACAAGACCTACTAAGTGATTGCGTAGCGAATAACACAGTTTCAGATGAGCTACAAGCTAGCCAAATACAAAGCTCCATCAGAGAAAAATGCGAGGATGTCTGTGGGGAAGGTATGTTGTGTAGTTATATTTGGTCAGCTATTGAGTTGATATGACGATTTTACAGTTGGCTGTTAGCCAATCAGAAATCAAGAATCCTTTTAAATAAATATTTGTGTTAGATTGTATTGTATTGTATTGTATTGTATTGTATTGTATTGTATTGTATTGTTTTTGTATTGTTTTTGTATTGTTTTTGTATTGTTTTTGTATTGTTTTTGTATTGTTTTTGTATTGTTTTTGTATTGTTTTTGTATTGTTTTTGTATTGTTTTTGTATTGTTTTTGTATTGTTTTTGCATTGCATTGCATTGCATACATGTCATTTTGTGCAAATTTATTAGATGGCGAAGTTATATAAATAAATAAATAACTTCTACTTACTTCTACTGTTACGAGAAAGATTTAAGGCCCATTTACACGGGCGATTTTTGCTGCGATTTTAGTTGCGATTTTCTCCTTTGGAGGATGTGAAGGAGTAGATTACTTAATGATGTTCTTATGAAATTTCATAACCTGGAACATTTATAACTCATCCACTCCTTCACATCCTCCAAAAGGAGAAAATCGCACCTGAAATCGCAGCAAAAATAGTCCGTGTAAACAGGCCTTTAGAACGACCTTGTCTTTGGAGCTTAGTCTACACATGGATAATAAAATAAATGGATAGGAAACTAGCTGACGTGACCTAATGTTGTCAATGGGCTGATGGCGTGGTTGGATGTTGAAACCTAGTTGCAAACCAAATTCTCAAAAACGGCACGCTTAGCAATAATACAGCTAAACATTTTAGTCAAAGAGCAAATAAATATAACCACACCATTCTACGACGAAAACTCAATTTTAGCAAATATTTCAAGCACTAAACAGTGAAAATACATCGCAAATTTCGTTAAAATTTGTGACGCCAATTTCGTAGCTACAAATGTAAAAAAAATACAAAACAAAGACGAAAAACATTTACCTTGAATACCTTGTTGTGGCTTAGGCATGTTTTTAAAACAATTAGACCAGTTTATGCTTCAATATCACCCTTTTAAAGTGGAAAATATAGCAAAACAACAAAAATGCCGAGAACTTTGGTAATATTCGCAAAACGCGTGACGTCACGTTTTTCAACAAGGACACAGTGTCTCTACTCTGTGACAAGGATGAGTCAATGACGTCAGGAAGTTTCCTGTCCAGTTATTTTACGATCCATGGTCTAGATTAAAACTGTTTAGGATTGCGACAGTTAGACCATATGGAAACCAGGTTTTACACTATGGAGATCGCGTCTCTCCATGGCTCCCTAACGCCTGCAGCCATTGAATGACCTTACCAAACCTCGACACTCTATTTTTCTAGACAAATGTACGTTCTTCGACGTGCTCGTGGGGGAGTGCGCAACTACGAGAACAGTGTATTATCACACAGTGTACGGCAGCATGTCATTGTGTCTAAGTATGAAGTTCATGGGTTGTATGGGAGTGGAAAATAAATTTGACAGTAAGACAGAATGTGAAGCAAAGTGTATCAATGGTAATGCTGCTGTGAAGAAGCGAGGTATGTACTAATTCAAAGTTGACGAGAGTTGATAAGAGTTCATGAGAGTTGATAAGAGTTTGTGGTCAAAAATTCTCATGAACTCTCATCCTCGTTTGACCGAGGCTTTAGTTTCCATTTTTGACCGGTTAAACACGATTGCTGATCGCTCAACTCCGCTTGATCTTTGAGGAAGCATTCTCGGCGAAATTGAAACACGAAAAATTTATAACCAAGAAAACCATTACAAATTAACTATGCAGGCTAACGTAATATGTAACGGGTGCACAATACTTCAAAAATTAATGTCGTTCCCGGAGCCAAACGTCGAAGCGACGTCAAACAATAGCCGAGAGGTTAAGATACGCCGGTTTACAGGTACGAGTATCGCCATTTTGTTTACCAATTTCTGCTGATGTCAGCATTTTTATCCGTAATTTCTACCCGTTTCCCCGCGATAAACCATGGTCTACACGTAAACGACAAACGGGTACGGGTGTTTTCTGTTTACTATTTGTGGGCCGTTTCAATGCTAAAAAACTTCAACATGTTACTCAAATAAATAATGCACATATGCTCGACAAAGTTTTCAACAATTTATGGCGAACCTCAACAGCGAAAGTTACCATTCTCTGATCGGTTTTCTCACGCCGGAGTATCTTGAATTTCTTAAGTGACAAGTCGTTCCCGATTTACGGGTACGGGTACGTGTATATCACTCGTACCCGTAAACCGTCACCGGGGTATCTTAACCTCTCTAATATTGAACATTTCAACGGTCATTGACCGTTGACCGGCCATTATTTTTAGCCCTGCAGATCGTAGTAACTTGTTTAAAATGTTTGAAATTTTTAGTTACTGCATGTCATCTGATTTTTTGTTATTTTATTGCCAAAAGGAAATTCCCAAACCATTGAACAGAGGGTCTCCAATGTCGCCGCAAAGAGTAAGTTATATTTGACCTTCTACTATTCATATAAAAGCATTCCAGTGATCGAACTGTTTCATTGTCTTTTCACCGTTTTGAAAATCCCACTATTCTCCACGCCTTTCAATCATTCATTGTTTTGACGTGTTGGTGACGTTATGTGAAGGACCTAGCTTTAGCAGACGATTCAACTCGATATGTACACCACAAATGATTAATGTATATGTTGTTGTTTTAGCTTGTCTTATGGGTTGTGCCCATGGCGGAAGATGTGTTGATGGAGTGTGTATCTGTGCTGAGGGGTGGACTGGGGTAGACTGTATGAAAGGTAAGATTCACGTATTTGTCATAATAATGAAAACTTTACTTAAATGGATATTTAGCTTATATATACAATTGCATAATAATAGTAATAGTAATAGCAATAGCAATAGCAACAGCAATAGCAACAGCAATAGCAATAGCAACAGCAATAGCAATAGCAATAGCAATAGCAATAGCAATAGACCGGCTTTACGATAAACTAAACTACTTTCTGTTGTTTTCAGAGGATTGTATTCCCAAGTGTGAAAATGGAGGAACATGTGAAAATGGTGCATGTACCTGTACAGCCGGATACGCTGGATCTGCTTGTGAAAGACGTGAGTTGCGTTGTCTTCTGGTGTTAACCAAGTCATTGCCTACATTATTATCATCATCATTGGTGTTATGATCATCATTGTTAATCAATCTTAGTGTTATCACTGTGTATATACTTTACAGAGGTCCGGTTCGGCTGAAAATTGCATTCGGCTGTCATGTTGTCGCCATTTCACTCGCTATTCAGTCGCTATCATCACCATCACCATTAATCACCCTCACCATCATCACTCCTCACCATCACCACCCCACACCATCACCACCGTCACCATCATCGCCGTCACCATCATCACTCCCACCATCATCACCCCATGTACCATCATCACCCTCACCATCATTACCCCCACCATCATCACCCCATGCACCATCATCACCCTCACCATCATTACCCCCACCATCATCATCCCATGCACCATCATCACTCTCACCATCATCACCCCCACCATCATCATCACCCCCACCATCACCACCCTCACCATCATCACCCCCACCATATCACCCCACCATCATCACCACCACTATTATCATCACAACCACATCCAACACCATCATCTTGGCCTTGATTACAACCACTTACCTATATGCAACCATCAATTTCTGTCGTTCTTCACACTTACTTATCTTTCTTTGCAGCCATCTGCGTACCATCATGCAGAAATGGTGGAAAATGCGTGGCTCCAAATGTGTGTGAATGTGCTCCGGGCTGGATTGGGGAAAACTGTCAGAAAGGTATCATCATAACCAATTATAATTCTTAAACTAAACTAACTTTTATTATATTAGATAGCTCTGTCAGTTCTAAACTGCTCACCCTAGAGGTCCAGTAGGTGCAAGCTTTTACTACAGGAGGAAAACTAAACTAAACTTACTTATGCTAGATAGCTCTGTCAGTTCTGAACCGTACGTTCGCCACAGAGATTGAGTAAAGACCTCCCTTTTTAAAATACTAGTTACTTTACAGTTCAAACAACTAAACATCCATTCACTTTTCTGTTTTCTATCGTAGCTTTTTGCGAAGCTCCATGTCTTAACTTGGGGCAATGTATTGGGCCAAACGTATGTGACTGTAGGAAGAGCTACCAAAACGATCCAAATGCCTTTTTAATGTATGAAGGAAGTCGCTGTGAAAAACGTAAGCTTGCTATCTTTTTATTGACAAGTAAACTTCTTATTCTAACAAATTATCGTTTCAAAGATTTTTGTAGATGGAAATTTGGGGTGGAATTTTTATACATTTATTAGACCAAAACAGAAGCAGTTGTGAAAAATACAACTATAGGCCCTCTGGTGGGAATCGAACCTTCGGTCCTGCGATTCCGGTGCAGTGCTCTAACCAACTGAGCTACAGAGACCAGTTGTCGAACTTGCCCAACCAACTACTCCTGGTTAGGTCTAGGGTGTTAGCCAGGCGGCCGTCCGACCGTCCTATGGACGGCCACTTCTGAATTTGGACGGCTAAATTTTAATGGACGGCCTAAGGGAATATTTTCTTTAAATAGCAACCTACAAGCTTTGTAATATTTCTTGAAATGTTTTTGTAACCATTTTGATGATTCTTGCATGAAGTATCAAGTAATGTGAAACCGCTATTTTAAAAAACAGCAATCGCTTTATCGCTCGAGCGCCATGTTACAATTACAGTAGTGATCATACCATACGTGTGCTTTTACTAAATTTAATGACGGAAATGTGCATCTAAAACTAAAAGTAAAAAGGTTCAACGAATAAAACACCACAATTCCTCAACAACAGAAAATTGCGGCCACGCCCAAAAGCAGGTGACCACGCCCGCAAAAATATGTTGCCACGCCCACAAAATTATTTTGGATGGCCACTTTTGAAATCCTGGCTAACACCCTGGACTTAGCTCTAAAGTTGTATCGCTTGTCTTAAAATTATATTGAGCGAGATGCCCAATCTCGATAAATTATCAATGCGTCTATTGAGAGGGAGTGGCAGTACTCAATATAAGCAATAAGCTGTCGTGGTTCTTGTCTGAACTATAGGAGAAAAATACCAGGATTTTTTATTTGTTGTTGCAAAAACTTAGGTAGGGTATAGGTGGGTTTTTAAAATTTGTTTTCTTTTAACGGCAGCACAGATGACACAAGCATTCGTTAAATTATTCATATCAACTTTGAAGCACAGGTTATACTTTATATATACCTGTAGCTAGTACAAAGCTAATGTCAAAAACTATAATATAATGTGTTTTCTTTCTTTTCTCTAGCCATGTGTCGTGATGGATGTGTAGGAGGTGTTTGTGTGTTCAACCGAAGTGAAAGTGCCGAAATGATTTGTAAATGTTTTCCGGGTTACTCTGGTGACGATTGCTCCGTTGGTAAGCATCTTGTATGGTACTGAAAGTGCTTATGCAACGAACGTTCACACCGCTTTGAATCTGCGTGTAGCTCCACATACTATGCTATCGAGTTATGTGTGTGTTAAACACTCAAGTCGACTAATTAGGGCTGTACGCCTGCGAACAGGCAGTAACACAAATATGGCGACTTTCTTGCAGATACGTGTTCGCCAAGCGTACCTATTTTTATAATTGTATTGTGAAGAAAATTAGCGGTGCATTGGATACATTAGAGAGGTTAAGATACCCCGGTTCCGGTTTACGGGTACGAGTATCGCCATATTTTGTTTACCATTTTTTTTGAAATACAGTGCCAAAAAGTGAAATACAGTACAGTTTTAATTAACTATAAGATACAGCCATTTCTAGCAGAAAATAATATAAAAAAACAAACATTTGTGACAAAAATGGCTGGCGTTTTTAGTAGATTTTCTATTAAAATTATATATATTAAAATTAACTATTTCGCATGTGACCTGCGCACGCATGTGACTGCATAAATTTTTCATGTATATTATTAATAAGTAATAGTATGGTTTGGTTTCTCGTGCAATTTGGAAAAACATACACCCATGAGTTTTTCAAAGACTTCAAATTTTGGTCGTCTTTGAGAATGACGTGCATGTTTTTCCCAAATAGCACTCAAAACCATACTATTACCTATACTTATAGGGTACCAGTGAGGTACGCTTGAAAATGTAGAAATATCGCACCCCAATACGGTTCTACTCTAGTGTGCCTATACAACTCTCCTAGTAGGACTTTGACAATTCTCATTTAATCTAAAGATATATACCACCACAGCTTTGTCAGCTAGTTGCTAAACACGTCGAAAATAATCCATTATCTACATTTTAGAAAATGACTGTGAGAAAGTCCTCAATCATGGCATCTCCACATATTACTTGGAAACAATCTTGTCATTACGTCAATTCTCGGCAGCCGAGCTGGCAACTAGATATTCCTGGAGTCTAAGTGCACTACAGAAGGCAGCGTGTTTCAATTATCTCGAGAGTCTTAGCAAATCTTGTAATGCCACCAACACAACACGTCACTATGAGGAGTGTAATCAAGTTTGTAGTAAGTAGCAATTATTGAAATCTTGAATGTTGGTTCCACTGTTACGTTCTGATACTTCACTTTTTTCAGCCAAGTATACCACGTAAGTAAGCGGTATTCTCAGTACTCCCGCTATCTGCGGACTTAAAGGACATTGGCATTAAAAAAATTAGTTTAGTTCATTTGAAAGAACTCTTAAAACTATATATTAAACTCTATTACAGATTGTTTATATCTTGCTTAGTTTTCAAAATATTTCGACTGAAAAAGTGAGCTGTTCGCCATCTTGGATTACTGAGGATATGCATGTTACGTGGTAAATACTATTTCGCTGACCTCAGAATGACATTTCGTCAAAACCTTTTTCTTCAAGATTGGTTTAGAAACAAATTTGGCATAGGGTTAGGTTAGGGTAAGGATTAAGGTTAGGGTTGGTGTTGGGAGTAGGGTTAGTGTTAGTAAAACCGTTGCTTTGTTACGTTTTGTCACTCTGAGGCCAGCGAAATAATATCTTCCATGTTACGTCAAACTTCGTTTTTGGTTGCTGTCTGAAATTTAGAAATGATTAAAAACATTTCAAACAATTTTGGATTGTTGCTCGGTCATTTTAAAGTAGTTTTTTGGTTAACCCAACTTCTGACGTCATCAAAACCATAGTTAATGAGGTCAAGAATTAGTCCAAGATGGCGGGCAGCTCATTAATTTCGGTCTAAATATTTCGAGAACTAAGCAAGATATGACAAATCGGTAATAGAGTTTTTCATATAATTTTAAGAGTTCTTTGGAATGAGACAAACTAATTTTTTATTGCCAATGTCCTTTAAATTTTGTTTGTGTTAAACGACCAGCACACTTCCCAAGGTATTTAAAACCGTAAATAAAGTTCTGGCATGATGAGATGAGACTAAGAAATGCTAGATCTTGTATATGCAATGGTGTTTTTCTCCGAACTCGTAGTTTTAGGTTACTGAATTAATACGTTTTAGAAAACTGTGCTTAATATTGTTTCTTGATTCTTGGTTGGAACAATAAGGAATTATTTTTTTATAATAAGGAAAAATTCTTTTTTTATAATAAGGAATTATTATTTTTTTATAATAAGGAATTTTTTTTATAATTTTTTTATAATAAATACGTTATAAAGCGTTTGCACCCAGGGACCAACTCAACAAAAGCCAATGGCGGCCATGTTGGTGTTCCAGACAAAAGAGTCAAATTAAAATTCTTCTGAATTGGAACACCAACATGGCGGCGGTGACGTCATGTGCAAACGCTCTATTCGGACACCACGTGCATATTAGCTTTCGAAACTACTGGTTTTCGAAACTTCAGTAATAGAAGTAGTAATCGTTGATCTTTTCAATGGAGATACTTTTTTTATACGCACTGTTTTGTAAAATAATAGGCCTTAATAATGATTTACAGTAAGACGGATAGATTGCAGTAATTTTACTTTCGTACACAATACAAAATGTACACAAAAATTTAGTTTTTGTTTTTTTTCTCCTTTAGTCCCCGCCTCGACAGGTCGGGTATGTGACAAAATCTGGGAGCCCTCAAAACTGGCGTTGAAAGAATACAACGAGACAAGATGGTACCACAACGATGGTGTCTGTGAGACGTTTTCTTTCAAAGGATGCGGAGGAAATGCAAATAACTTCAAAACTGAAGCGGATTGTAAACATACCTGTATCGGTAAGTATCAATACGGCGTCTTGTTAAGCTCTGGGTACAATACACTTAAAGTGCGTCTAACCACTAATATGATTTTTGGTATGTGTAATATTTGGGCCACGCGAAGAAGAAATGTAATTTATCTTTATAATAAAAAGTCACATCTTGATCAACTTTTTCACTGTCAAAGTTTCCGAATATGATGTCATTAGGTGAATTGCAAATTAGTTTTCCTTTGTTTTTTGTACCAAAATTTCACCTAATGACATCATATCTGGAACATTGACAGTGAAAAAGTTGATCAAGATTCGGTTTTTTACTATAAAGATGCATTAGATTTCTTCTCAGGATGACCCAAATACTACACATACAAAAAATTATATTTGGGGTTAATTGCACTTTAAAAGTCTCACATTTTGTCAACAAGATGTGTTCACAAATGTTGTCATTTTGTCAGCTTGCTACAAGGTTTGTCAATAAACAGTTGAATCAAAACAACCTTGTACCAAGTTGTCAACAAACTGTTGACAACGTGTCAACAAGCTAGGAAAAGCAGCACGAACACATCCTGATGACAAATTGTTCAAACAGCATTGGAACAAATCCGCTGCAAGTTTGTTACAAGTTGTGCGTTTTTACGTGTGTATATGTGAACAGTTCTCTATTTAGAGTTTTAACTCACTTCACTATATATTTAGAGCCACAAAGAGCATGCGATATTTCTGACCTATATATTGATTCTTTCTTTTCATAGAACATTCTGGCAGTGAAGCCCATCACTACAGGGCCAATCCATTGTTCCCCCGAAGTAAGTTCGTTTTACTTATTTGAATTACTCGAGTATAATTGATCAGTATAGGTTAGTAAGAAGGTCATTAGTCAGGGTCTCGTAGTCACAATCCAGTGATCGGAATGTTTCGTTATTTTTTTAATGTTCTGAAAATCCCACTATTCTCCAAACCAGACTTGGAAATCCTGATTCGCCTTTTCAAATGTTCCTCAAAAGTGCGTAAAAACAATCGAACGTACGGCCCTGCCATTCCGGTGCAGCGCTCTAACCAACTGAGCTATACAGAGTCCAGTTGTCGAGCTCTGACCACAAGTTCATGTATATATACTGGCATCACTAAATGTGTAAATACTGGCATCACCTTAGTATTAAACTATTTATACATGAACTTGTTGTTGGAACTCGACAACTGTCTCTCTATCTTAGTTGGTCAGCGCAGTTCGATTCTTATTGCCAATTCTTTATTTGATTTGTCAAGGAAGTATAATGTCTATGATACTCATTTCTATTTTATGTTTCAGTGCCCGGTGTGTGCTATGCATACGGTCGAGGCCACTATCGTACATTTGATGGCAAGAACTACTATTTCTACGGAACTTGCAAATACCAGATGGCTTATGTTAAGGACCCCTTGATACGGTTCAGTGTTGTATTGATCAATGACCCATATTGCGACATCAATGATCTCTGTAATAAGAAAGTTGAAGTAATAATGGAAGGCGCAGTTGTTGTTCTTGGTAATACAAATGAGAATGGAATTCCAGATGTCACAATTAACGATGAGAATGTGGCTATTCCTTACAAGAAAAAGACACCCAGTATCAGAATTGTAAGTATGATTTCCAGTTTGATATTTGTAGGGACTGTTTTGAGGACGGCAGCCAAACAAACTCTTTGAAATATATGACTTATGGAAATCTTGTCAAAATTTAAAGTTTATTTATTTCACACTATATAAGTTGGTTTTACATCAAGAAAATAAAGTTACAAGACAGAAGAAAAGTTTTACAAAAGCTAGTTAAGAGATATTGTTTGAAAGTGTACGATAACAAAGTAGCTAGTTGGCCATGTATTTACTATCATATAAATTTAAATTATTTAATACAGTTTCAGAAGGTTAGTGGAGCCATACCAGGGCAGAGCAATTTTAATGAACTCTGTTAGAAAAACTACATTTCACATCGAACTTTGCTCACAGACTCAAAAAACTCATTAATAATTCATGAAGAAAATTTTTAAAAAATGAATGTTTAATCAATGTTTGTAAATCGGATAAGATTTATCCTGATTTACATAAACTTCAGCTTTGATTTTCTCGGCTTAGACAATGTTTATTTGCAAAATTACTTCGCCAATTAACTCATAAGATGGGTCGTTTTTTAAGCACGTTAAAACATTCGCATCCGATCTTTATCTGATATAAAATCTCTCGCCTTCGGCTCGAGTTTGTATATCAGGTAAAGATCGGCTGCTCATGTTTTTTAAAGGTCGACTGCTCATGTTTTAACTAGACTTTTAAGTCCACTATGTCAGACAGTAAACTGCTTTATCTTCACCAACAGGCAGGACGATATGTCATTGTGAAGAGCGCTGATGGTGCGTTGGTTTACTGGGATGGTCGAGAAGACTTAATGATCAAAATACCAGACACCTTTAAAACTGGCGCAGATGGTCAACATCAAGTCTTTGGTCTCTGCGGTACCTACGATGACAATCCAGGCAATGATTTTGCCAATCCACAAGGAATCGTCTCGGAGAGCATGAGCACTTTCGTGCAATCGTGGAAAGAAGACTCGGACGGATCATGCGATATGACAACTGAGATTAAAACACCGCCACCATGTTATTCTCCCTCTAAGAGTATCAACGAGGGGATATTGAAGGCTCAAGATATATGTGACGTTTTAGATGGACATAAATTTACAGGCAAGTATGCGTAAATTTGCAGTAAACTGAATCCATAATACACCCTTCCGGAGCGTACTCAGCCCTGGCTACAGAGCCTCGTTTTTGTGATTTGAGACAATGGATTTAGGGTAATAACTCCATGTCCTACATATACCAACATAGAAAACACATTTTATAACCCTTCATATACGTTATTATACATCATTATATACCATTACTACTCATTACTCCTCATCTTACATTGTTGTACATTATCCTACATAATTATACATAAATGATAATTATCTATCATTCATGATCATGGATTCAACATAACATAGCATCACTATGCATCATTCAAGATCATTCAACATCATTTAGCATCACTATGCATCATTCAAGATTATTCAACATCATTTAGCATCACTATGCATCATTCAAGATCATTCAACATCATTTAGCATCACTATGCATCATTCAAGATCATTCAACATCATTTAGCATCACTATGCATCATTCAAGATTATTCAACATCATTTAGCATCACTATGCATCATTCAAGATCATTCAACATCATTTAGCATCACTATGCATCATTCAAGATTATTCAACATCATTTAGCATCACTATGCATCATTCAAGATCATTCAACATCATTTAGCATCACTATGCATCATTCAAGATCATTCAACATCATTTAGCATCACTATGCATCATTCAAGATCATTCAACATCATTTAGCATCACTATGCATCATTCAAGATCATTCAACATCATTTAGCATCACTATGCATCATTCAAGATCATTCAACATCATTTAGCATCACTATGCATCATTCAAGATTATTCAACATCATTTAGCATCACTATGCATCATTCAAGATCATTCAACATCATTTAGCATCACTATGCATCATTCAAGATCATTCAACATCATTTAGCATCACTATGCATCATTCAAGATCATTCAACATCATTTAGCATCACTATGCATCATTCAAGATCATTCAACATCATTTAGCATCACTATGCATCATTCAAGATCATTCAACATCATTTAGCATCACTATGCATCATTCAAGATCATTCAACATCATTTAGCATCACTATGCATCATTCAAGATCATTCAACATCATTTAGCATCACTATGCATCATTCAAGATCATTCAACATCATTTAGCATCACTATGCATCATTCAAGATTATTCAACATCATTTAGCATCACTATGCATCATTCAAGATCATTCAACATCATTTAGCATCACTATGCATCATTCAAGATCATTCAACATCATTTAGCATCACTATGCATCATTCAAGATTATTCAACATCATTTAGCATCACCATGCATCATTCAAGATCATTCAACATCATTTAGCATCACTATGCATCATTCAAGATTATTCAACATCATTTAGCATCACTATGCATCATTCAAGATCATTCAACATCATTTAGCATCACTATGCATCATTCAAGATTATTCAACATCATTTAGCATCACTATGCATCATTCAAGATCATTCAACATCATTTAGCATCACTATGCATCATTCAAGATCATTCAACATCATTTAGCATCACTATGCATCATTCAAGATCATTCAACATCATTTAGCATCACTATGCATCATTCAAGATCATTCAACATCATTTAGCATCACTATGCATCATTCAAGATCATTCAACATCATTTAGCATCACTATGCATCATTCAAGATTATTCAACATCATTTAGCATCACTATGCATCATTCAAGATCATTCAACATCATTTAGCATCACTATGCATCATTCAAGATCATTCAACATCATTTAGCATCACTATGCATCATTCAAGATCATTCAACATCATTTAGCATCACTATGCATCATTCAAGATCATTCAACATCATTTAGCATCACTATGCATCATTCAAGATCATTCAACATCATTTAGCATCACTATGCATCATTCAAGATCATTCAACATCATTTAGCATCACTATGCATCATTCAAGATCATTCAACATCATTTAGCATCACTATGCATCATTCAAGATCATTCAACATCATTTAGCATCACTAAGATCATTCAACATCATTTAGCATCACTATGCATCATTCAAGATTATTCAACATCATTTAGCATCACTATGCATCATTCAAGATTATTCAACATCATTTAGCATCACTATGCATCATTCAAGATCATTCAACATCATTTAGCATCACTATGCATCATTCAAGATCATTCAACATCATTTAGCATCACTATGCATCATTCAAGATCATTCAACATCATTTAGCATCACTATGCATCATTCAAGATCATTCAACATCATTTAGCATCACTATGCATCATTCAAGATCATTCAACATCATTTAGCATCACTATGCATCATTCAAGATCATTCAACATCATTTAGCATCACTATGCATCATTCAAGATTATTCAACATCATTTAGCATCACTATGCATCATTCAAGATTATTCAACATCATTTAGCATCACTATGCATAATTCAATATTCAACATCATTTAGCATCACTATGCATCATTCAAGATCATTCAACATCATTTAGCATCACTATGCATCATTCAAGATCATTCAACATCATTTAGCATCACTATGCATCATTCAAGATTATTCAACATCATTTAGCATCACTATGCATCATTCATTCAACATCATTTAGCATCACTATGCATCATTCAAGATCATTCAACATCATTTAGCATCACTATGCATCATTCAAGATCATTCAACATCATTTAGCATCACTATGCATCATTCAAGATCATTCAACATCATTTAGCATCACTATGCATCATTCAAGATTATTCAACATCATTTAGCATCACTATGCATAATTCACAATCATTCACAATCATTCAGCATCATTCAGCATCATTCAGCATCATTCAGCATCATTATGTAATTTATGCATGTCACATAATTTAATTTGCCGGCGGATCTATGCAGTTTTAGTTAATATTATTATCTCTGATATTGTGTTATTATTATAGGCTGCAGGAAGCTTATTTCAACACAGGAGTATAAATTGATGTGCATGTCAGATGTGTGTGCATGTAACTCTACTCGGAGAAGTGACTGTGCGTGTAAGGCTTTGTCTTTGTATGCACGTGCTTGTCACGTGGAGATGGAGAAAGTGGACAAAAATGAGCAAGACTGGAGAATTAAAGAGTGGAGGAGTGATGGACTTTGTGGTGAGTTGAGTTTTCTAAAAATAAGTAAACTAAACTAAACTAACTGTATTTATACTGGATAGCTTTATCAGTTCCAAACTGTTCTCCCTAGAGGTTCAGGAAGGATCATCTCGTGTTGATCCAGTATTACTACAGTAAATTCCTTCGCTTATTTTTCCGCGTTACTACAGGAGGAGGTCCAAACTAAACTAACTTTATTTATATGCTGGATAACTCTATCAGTTCTAAACTGTTCTCCCTAGAGATCCAGTAAAGGGCATCCTGTATTGATCTTGTATAACTACAAGGAGGAGGCCTAAACTACACTAACTGTATATACTGGATAACTCTGTTAATTCTAAACTGTTCTTCCTAGAGATCCAGTAAGAGCCAACCCTTATTGCTGCAATGTAACTGCAACACCGCCTGTTGTCAATAATTTCTAAATTACTCAACTTTACCCTATCATGGTAAGGCTTGCCAGAATATATAATCGAAAGAACTCGATAAATAATATTTTTATATTCATTCATTTTAGAGGAACAATGTCCAGCCACAATGGAATGGACAGAATGTGGGTCAGCATGTCCTCTAACGTGTGCCAACTTAAACAGTCATCAAATCACGTGTCTTTCTGGTTGTGTCGATGGTTGCCATTGTCCACCAGGCTTGTGGAAAGACGGACAGCGATGTGTACCAAGGAATCAATGCTCATGTGATCATGCTGGTATATCCTATAAGCATCGCAGTATTCGCAGATCTGCTTGTGAGGAATGGTAAGTTTCTCCTACAACCAAAGGCGGCATGTAGTAAAACACTGACTACCGGAACACCACCGGAACCCTAACCCCCAACCCTAACCCCAAACCCCAAACAAAATGGTGGTGTTCCGGTGGTGTTCCGGTGGTGTTCCGGTGGTGTTCCGGTGGTGTTCCGGTGGTGTTCCGGTGGTGTTCCGGTGTTCCGGTCGTCAGTGTTTTACTACATGCTACCAAAGGCCGGTTATCAAAGTGTTCGTGATCACAGTAGGAATTTTGCATGGGTAAATTCTAAGTTTTGAAGGATTTGTAAGAAATGTTTGAGGGAACTGACTGTTTAACACTTTAAATAGCTTGTAACTTGTCTTGATGAAAACGTTCGTATTGATATTTGGTGAGAAAAGATTTTGTATCAGATATTTAAAGCTTTTTCGATCGTTGCTAAAGGAGATGGACGGGAGGGAGATTTTCAAGCTTGCGGCTATTTTCAAGATCATTAAAACGTGAGAGAATCAAAAAGGAACTTTTAACTATCCTAAACCTTACCCCTTCCCTAAACCTTACTCTGAACCCCTTCCCTAAACCTTACCCTGAACCCCTTCCCTAAACCTTACCCTGAACCCCCTCCCTAAACCTTACTCTGAACCCCCTCCTAAACCTTACCCTGAACCCCTTCCCTAAACCTTACCCTGAACCCCTTCCCTAAACCTTACCCTGAATCCCTTCCCTAAACCTTACCCTGAACCCCCTCCTAAACCTTACCCTGAACCCCTTCCCTAAACCTTACCCTGAATCCCTTCCCTAAACCTTACCCTGAACCGCTTACATAAACCTTACCCCTCAACCTTACCCTAATCCTACACTAAAGCAAACTCTGAGTTTAAAGTTTGAACTATCTTGAATACCTGCCTCTCGCTTTCATCCCTTTTAGCCATTACCAAGCTCTTTTGCGGTCATGATTTCCGTTGTGTTTTTCATGAATAATTAATAAGAACTATAAATAATTATAGATATTTTGTTGTTCTATAGTATTTGCGAAGGTGGATCTTGGGATTGTATCAAACTCAAATGTGGTGGTAAGTTTGTTGATTGGATTTGTTTGT